ATTCTTCGAGATGCAGATGACCGTCGAGCCGGGGAGAGCTTTTGTGGTGTTTGACATCCACCATGTCATGGATTCGGAGATGACTTTCTGCAAGTTGCTGGCTACCGCTCGTCCAGTGATTCTCATCGGCAGACATGAACGCCTCGAGACCTGTTGATGGTTGATGGAGGAAGGAACGACATGCAATTTGGACCAAAAGTTACACGCAGTTTCTCGCATGAGTTCATTGACCCTTTTGCAGGGCTGGGAGGTCATTTGAGTCGCAACGGCTTAGCGGCAGCTTAGCGTCACTGAACCGCCCCCTTGCCTGCTGCCACGATGGGCTTTCCTCGCCGGGAGTATGACGCCTGACAACACTTTTTAGTGCAGGATATGCAGTGCATAATCCATCAGTTGACCCACCTTCGCAGCAGCAGTTAGCCTTAAGTGAGTGAGGCCAGTGACCTCCGCATTCTTCGCACCATGCAGATCTCAGGCTTTCAGCCCACGCTCCTTCAAAGCCAAAGACCTTCAAGGATACCATGTCACCATGTCCTTGATGGATACTTGCATCCACATGAGGCAGCGCATCTCCTGGGCATTGCGGACATTGCAACTTGTCCAATGACCATGGAGCGGACGGCTAGCTCAAGGCAAAGCCTTTGGAGTGGAGCGCAACTTGTTGAAGCAGTCTCTCTCGCTACTGGCCAGTTCAATCATATTGATCCACTACGTGAGTGGCGAGGAGGGCGCTCTGGCTTGGATGCTCGCCACTGCGGACTGCGGCCTCACAAAGAACACGCCGCATCACTCCCACGAGGCTTATCCATGTCAGTGCTTAGCGTCTCGGCAATCAATACCAAGTCCGCTCCAGGGCACCTTCTTGTTCGAGATCCCAAAATTGCTTTGTTTACAGCAACTTTGTGTCTGCAGTCAGCAGATGCTCGAATTGAGCATTCCTTTTCATTTACCGTTTTGCTTCCGCTTCTCGCACTGCCGCCATGCGCCTTGCAGCAGACTGGATTGCCCCTCGAAACCCATGGCCTAACGGACTAACGGATCGACAGCTCCCACTACAAGAGCTGATGAGCTCTTCTTGTTTCGGGGCATCGATATTATGGATGACCACACTACAGTATGCGAGCCTGAGTTCTTCATGAAACTTCAGCGGCTGCGCGCCAACCGGTTCACATCCATAGTCAGCAACTCGGATTCTTGCCCCTTTGTGATGCTGGACACTGGCTCGCGCTAGAAGGCGGGCGACAGCTCTATCCTTCATCATCCATGATGGCCTTTTCAATCCCATCAGCGGCTACTGAGCTCAATGACTCATTGCCTTGGATTCTCATCCTGACTTCACTCACCATCAACCAAAAACTCATTCAATCAACCGTCAGTCTCAGTCAGTCAGTCTATGCAACTTGCAAGAAGCAAGAAAGGGCTACGCCGCCCAGTCTACAAGCAGCGAGAGCCATAAAGGAAACAAGTGCAGTCAAGCAGCCGGCCCCGGAGCATCTCTGGCACGCAAACATGTGCTTCCAAGCAAGAGCTGAGGCCTGCGGTGCATTCATGGCAGCCATCTGTTTTGGCTGCCAGGCGCCCGCCCAAAATGCTGAACCAAACTAAACCGCGTTTTTTGCAAGAAGAAGAAAAGTCTTGGCAATGCCAGCGTAGATGTCACACACACAATCACAACTGACGCTGGCCTTCATGTTCCTGCAGCAAATGGTGGGCAGTCCCACCTAGGCCCAAACAGTGACAGCAGCACTGTCCAAAAACATGAAACATACAGCTGTTCAGACACATCGCAGTCAGTGCGAAGTACTTTACAGTCATAGGTTCTCAGGCATACAGCAGTCAGTAAAGCACAAAAACTGAGACTCCGGTTCTGGGCATCATTGCAGCATCCAGTTTTGGGTAGTACACGGTAGTATTTTCGTTTAGATAAAATTTTGCAACTCCAATCAAGGGGCACTCTTCAGGTTTGAGCAGCTCAACGTTTGGCTGTCTTCTTTGTAAATGTCAATCTCATTCCTTGAGCAAAACACAGTAAGTCTTCAACGTAACCAAAACAGATCAGCTTACAACCACATGTTTGGTGTTTCTATTTTTGGGGCTAGCGTCAAGCTAGCTTCTCGCAGCTCCTTCTTGAGGTCTTCCATCAGCCGCTTGTTGATGTGGAAGGTGAAAAAACAGCATATCACAGAAACCTGCAGCAATCAACAAGCAACACTTGGCCAGGAAGACAAGGCAGTCCACAGTCAAAAAGTCAAAAGTTAGCCAACACCATGATTCAGAACATCAGCGCAATCCAGAACAGCACTTGCACCTTGGCAATAGTCCCATGGAGCTGGCCTCAACAGCTTCACCACCATGTCAAGCTGATGCCTCATGTTGATGCTGCTTGATGCAGCGGATGTAGTGTAAAGCGCTGGTTGCAGCTCAGGCGCTCAACATGAGTTGGGATTGCAACCAACACCTCCTTCCCTGAACAAAGCTTAGCTGCGTGGCCAGGCGTTGTGGTGTGAACCTGGAGAACTTGTTTCCTAGTCTGATGTCATGATTTGGCGCTTTTGCCAAACAGCCCAAAGGGCCAATCCAAAAGGACATGAGCTGAACGGGATAAAATAGACGGCGGAAAACGTATGGCACTCTCAAGTCTCAAGATGCACGAAGGTCAGAACTCGCACTGTAAGCAGTTGTCATAAGTAGGTTTCCACACTGGTCACAGAAATGAGCTGAGCATATGGACCAGAAGGCCTTCAAACGGACATTTTGCTGTGCCCCAACACAAGAAAAAACATGCGTTCCAGTTTGCCTTGTCAAAATTTTTTTGTCCCTGGAGTTTGGAGGAACTCTACTACTCCAGGGGTCAGGCCGGATGTGTACTGGAGCACCGTGTTTTCATAATTTTTGTTTGATAGAGTTTTGATGGCGACAATGGTTTGCCTGTCCTAATGGTTCTGTTTAAAAGAATTTCCATTTGGCAAGGTTGTGAAGAGCGGTGGAACTGGCAAGGTACGTTGTCTTACACTGTTGCATGACAGGCCAACCGCTAAGGGGAGTCCTGCGTCAATGGCTCAGAGGTGGGCACCACCAGGTCTAGAGTCTAGAACGTTTTTTGGGTTTTTGGCAAAATCACCAACGTGGCGCAGCTGACTAGTTTTTATTTGCTGTCCTTTGTGAAATCAAGGGATACAAAACTACAGCAGTAATTTCAATGAATCAGCATTGTGACACGCAACTCTATATTCCTCTCTTGGGCTAGTATAGGTTTGGACGTTGATGGCTTTTGTTTTTGAGGTAAGGCTGATCAATCCCGAGTCTGATTCCCCAAATGTAGCGTCAAGTTCAAATGGATGTTGGTGAGTTAGGCATCCAAGCAGGTCTCAAATCCTGAAACTCAACACAGCGTTGATTTTTGTTGTCACTACGTTTTAGTTGTAGTTGTGAAAACATTAAAACATATTTTAAAAAAATATAGATCCTTCTCAAAACAGTTTCGCTTCATTGACGGAGTCCAGAAACATCTCTTCTCAAGACAATAGTTTCGTTCCTGAATCGACTCCGGCTCAGGTCTGCAGAGCAGAGGGCTTAATCGATTTCGAGTGTCACCGTTTGAGCAAAGCTTCAGTGACAGAAAACTTTAGACACACGTGAAAGTGCTACCGCAGTGGAGTCAAAGCTTTGCCTTAATTACATCAAATGTGTCAAATGAGCCCTGAGAAATCTGACTCGAAGTCAGGGGCTCGTTAGTTCAGGCACGTATTGTATCAATTTAGCAAAGAGTGCAATGAGCAGAAAAGGAGACTACTCACCGAACACAAAAGGGCTGGTTGTCATTGGCTCACTAGCTATCTCGCAATGCATTACCAGCTCCATCACTTCATGTTTTGACGCAGGCGACTAAATAGATTGCTTTTGTGGCTTGTGAATATGACATCCAGAATCTACAAGGATTTGCAGTGGCGTTTGGCCACTAATCACTTGCTTTGGGTTTCTGATCACGTGCTCAGCATATTATGTGCTTCGACAGATTTCGGCTCAAAAAAGAAGCTGCACACCTCCTGAGGTGCCGCGAGGGTGGGTAATTGTAAGTGATTTCACTTTTGCAAAACGTCAACCACAGCAACCGGTTTCAGAAAGAACTCCGCAATTGGCGGAAATCTGAAGATTAAAGAAAGTGTTTGCAAGCCCTTCTAGCACACTAGAGACCTCGCCTCAAAACTGGTGAAACTTCGAGGACTTGAAAGGCTCCAGACAGCAGCCACTTTATCAAGAATGGATTGTGTTCAAAGCAGTGTTTGGCTGACAAGCTCATTTGGCTCAAGGAGTTTTTCCATGCTGCCAGGATTTAGTGCTTCGATAGCATACGTATATATATATATTATATTTAATACTTTGTAGTAGCATTTAGCAATATGTTCGCCAAAACAGACTACAGTAATTTTGTGCTGCCACTGCCCTCACCCTCCAGCCAACTTGCTTCCATGTGCCGAAGACATTTCCTTCAGAACCTAAAGAAACAAGCAAGAATGAAGAGGTGCAACTGCCAAGCTTATTGCGAACAATGAACAAGTTACAACACACCAAAAACTGTTTACTTCTCTACACTAATCCCGGGCACCTTTAAAACCAGCTACCTAATTAAAAGAAACGCATGCCGGAGACGCCTAAATACACCTTTGCTATTTTCTGCTACTGAACTACACCCAAGGTGATTTTGGGAGTGATTCTTTAATTAGGTACCCACCCACCAGAATCATCACCAATCGTGCCCCTCACTGGCGACACGCCGCATTTACGTGAGCAGTGTTATGTTTTTTTTGTTTAATCGCCTCCGCGGAGGCTACGTGAGGCCGTTTTTGTTGAAGGGTAGGGTACCTGCTGGCTACGCGGTAAGGGGAACTCCGCGAGATCCTACGCGAAATCGCTTTTACTTCAGAGGTAGGTTACGCGGTGCCTACGCGTAATAGTTCCCCTACGCAAAGGCTACGCAAAGCTATAAAACTGCAAACGTAGGCTTCTCAGTGGCTACGCGGTACATTTGCACAAAAACAAACGCTACTCAATGCGCACCCTTCCCAACGGCAAGGAGCCACACAAACGCGCTTTCCACGGCCTTACCCAACCGCATGGCACAGCGACACATTTCGAACCTTTAGTGGTTAGCCTGAAGCATCAAATTTTGATAAGTGTTGTGAATGGAAAAGGACCACAAATCTGGAGGTTTTTTGAACGCTTGATGCGAGTTTAATAAGGTGACTTTTCGCTTTTGAAGCTCTTCCCAGGTTTCCATCTTTGTGGGTCTCTCTATTTTGGGGACCCCCTGATGTTAACAAAAGCGACACCGGAGTTATCTTTTTGGAAGGGGGCCTGTGTCTTTAGTAGGTGGAAGGGATGATTGAGCCACTGATAGCTGGTAAAAACAAAAAACATATCATCAATGAAATCTCGATTAAATTTGCATGCCAAAAGAATGTTGAACACAAGTGCTCTCATGATTTGGTAGCATTTGTTGGGTGTTCTGTTGGTGCCATGCGGCGATCTTTGACACGCTTGCGGCAGTCGCCTGGGCTTCTCCAAATGACTGAGGTGGATCTGTTGCTTGCTTTCCCGCGAACGGCCAAAACCGGCAAAGGCATGCAAAAGCAATAGGCGCTCTTCAAAAGCGACAACCATGCCGCCGCAGTTTTGAGATATGTTCAGCTATGTTGAACGTGTGGCATGGTGCGGCTGGGGCCTGAAAGAGCGAGCGGCCCCGGCTGCCGTCAAAAGTGATCCTTGTTGAAGCATGTGTAGATCAAGTTCCAGCGACATAGACTCTGACTCGTATCAAGCATTGGATCATGCACAGCTTGATAAACCGCGGTTTGGCTGAATTTTGGAGCGACGGACTTGGATCGTGCGCCAGGTAGAGGTTCGCCCAGCCCACGTGCCAATCCTCCTCCACAAGCTCCAGAACTCTGCGGAAGTCTCACATCAGAGGGGCCTAGGAGGCCCTTTGGGGGCCTTCTACACAGAGCTGGGACAGCGCGATTCTGAGGATAACGTTGTTGTGTTTTCGGATGTGCACATGAACGGCGTCCATGAACGTGCATAGCTCTTTCACAATCACTTGAAGTGCTTCTCGAAACACGAGTTGAAACCTGGATTCGATAGCATGCAAATTGTCGCAGGACTTGAAGGCCATGCTCAAAATAGTACAGAGAGGCAAAAACATTGTATAAATTAAACTAATTAATCCAAGTATGTGTGCCCAAGAATCATGCAGCGCCACCCCATGCTACCATGCTCGTTGTAAAACGGAGCCCCCCACAGGTGGCCAGGAAGGGGCTGAATACAAGTCTGGCGAAGATCACTTGGTCCAGTCTCACGGACATTCTGTATGTATGTAATGTAATGTAATGTAATGTAATGCAATGCAATGCAATGCAATGCAATGCAATGGTATGTATGTCATGTCATGTCATGTCATGTCATGTAATGTCATGTCATGTAATGTAATGTAATGTAATGTATATAATGTAATGTAATGTAATGTATGTAATGTAATTAATGTAATTACTGTATGTATGTATGTATGTATGTATGTATGTATGTATGTATGTATGT